TGTTGATCATGCTTTATGTACTATATGACTTGTCCTATATCACAATGTGATCTGATGGGATTAATAAAGAATATTCTATTCTATAAGATTAATGTGGACGAAAATATTTCTACGTAATGTTACAAAGACTGAACATAAAAAAAATGAGGATAATAACTTGGGAAAAATGAAAATTAGATATATGGAAAGAAAAATAGATATATGTATTCTCACCGAGACCAAGAAAAAGGGAAAAGGAAATGAAGAGATAGGAGAATATATACATATCTACAGTGAAGTCAGTAAAGATAACAGAGCTAAGAGAGGAGTCTCTATTGCCATTCGAAAAAATCTTAAAAACAATATTAAATCATAGACTGAAGTAAATGAACAACTGCTGATACTGGAAATGAAAAAGAATGGACACAACATCGTAATTGTCGGAGTGCATGCCCCAAATGAAGATGCAGATCCAGAAAGTAAAGACGATTTCTACAACAATATGAATGAAATACTCTCTGAAATTAAAGAAAACTGTGAAATCTTTATATTAGGAGATTTAAACGGCAGAGTACGGAGAGAAGAAAATAACAGAGTCGTAGGAAGATATGGGGAACAAATAACCAATGACAACGTAATGCGTCTTAGAGATTTTTGTGAAACAATGTCTCTCAAAATTATGAATGGATTTTTTCAACATAGAGACATACACAAATTTACATAGTGAAAAGTAAAAATGAGATGTGGGATCGAAGATGTGCAGAGGTGGATAGGTATATGGGTGGAAGAAGAGTTGGGCAAGCTTGGAAGGTGATAAAGTCTCTCCGGAGGGAAGGAAAGGAAAAATCTAACTTACAGTTAATAGATCTGAAACAGTGGAATCACCATTATGAGGTCTTACTGACAGAGGATAGATGTAAATTCCAAGAGATCGAAATAGAAGAAATATCCGAACACACACAAATAATTGAGATAACAACCGGAGAGTTAAACAATGCCGTCAAGAGATCGAAAAACGGTAAAGTAGCAGGACCTGTAGACATCCCAATTGAGTTGATAAAGTGTGGACCAAAAATATTACATGAGATGTTAGTTCAACTATTTAACAAATGCTTAAAAGGACAAAATATTCCTGATGATTGGAATATTGGATACATCAGCTCAATATTCAAGAAAGGGGATAAACGCAAATGCTCTAATTATAGGGGAATAACTTATCAGCTCAGTGGGGAGGTTGTACGGTTGAATAATAAAAAAAAATAATCGAATCAGAATACGAAGACATAGAAGAACAAAATGGATTTCGTGCAGGAAGATCGTGCACTGATGGTATATTCGTTCTGCAGCAGGTAATCGAAAAACGGAAGGCAAGGGATCTATCTACCCACCTATTGTTTATAGATTTAGAGAAGCATACGATACGGTACCTTTGACAAAACTGTTTCAAACATTGACGAAAGTAGGTCTTGGTAGAGAGTACGTGGATGCTATCGCAAATATATACAAAAATGCAAGAAGTGTCGTTAAAGAAAGAAACTTTATATCTGAATCATTTCCAATAACAAAGGGGCTTAAACAAGGATGTTGTATATCTCCTATCTTATTTAAAATATATATTCAATCATCGCTAGGGCAGTGGAGGAAACAAGTATCCGGAATGGGAGTAGACATAGGCGATGGTAAATGTCCAACAACTTTATTTTTCGCAGATGATCAGGTAGTCGTAGAGAATGATGAAGAAGAACTAAAGAAAGAATATGAAAAATGTGGTCTCAATATGAATATGTCAAAGACAGAGTATCTTAAAATAGGAGATGATGAAGATACCGAAAATTTTTAAGGTCCATATGTTCAACATCGACGGCGTCACGTCGTCTGCATAGATTGGAATAGATTGCAATAAATCAGTGTTTTGTTTGTCTTCATTGGAGAACCATCTCTAAATAAAGCCAAATGTTCGTTTAAAATTTTTTTTAAATCTTCGTATCTACGAATATGAATATTATTTTTTGCAAAGTTTGTGTGTTCTTTGTTTTTTTTTTAAGTTAGTTCTAAATAATGAGTAAACTTCAGTACATAGATGTTAACATCTTTAATATACTACATTTTAAGTTGTAAGTTATAAATTATTAGATCTGTATTTCTTATAAACTCTATGTCATCTTTGTATTTTAGAGAACTGATGAAGCTTTAGAAATATAAAGCGAAACGTCTTCTATAAACTTATGAAGTAGTTTGACTTCTTTTTTTATTTTGCCAACCTGAAACCTGAATGACCGATTAAACCTCTGAATTCACTAGTTGAATACTTTATTAATATAAATTGACGGTCGTAGTCTTTACAATGTCTACTTTATATATATATATATATATATATATATATATATATTATATATATATATATATATATATATATATATATAATGGAAATTTAGTAGCAGTTAAACTTGGGTGTAATCGATTTAACAAGAAATTGGATGAAAGCAAATACACAATATAACTGAAAAAAAAAAATGGTTTAAAATAAACTCAGTGGACTACACATACAGGGAGATACAAAACAACTGACTTAATAAACTGCACATACAGAGGGAGACAAAAATACTAATAATATTGAAAACTGTTGAGTGAGCTACACAAAATAATACAAAAAACCAGTTCTTATTCACTAGGAAACTAAGTTCCTGTAACTGGCTGTATATCATGCATTACAAATTTTTTTTATTTAAAACCCTTTATAAAAGGTATATACTAAAATACCCAAACGGCCTATATCACAATTACAGAACGTTTTCGGAATGTAAATCCCATCATCAGTGTAACGAAGTATACATGATCTTCTTCTTAGTCGTTAACCTGATGCAGGTATCCGTGATATCATGAAGCTGTTAGGTAATTTTTCCAATGTTCCTCCACGTTTTTCTATCTTCTGCCAATCTAGCACATTCTGACAATGGAATGCCAATGGTAGCAACAATATGGTCCGTGTATCGTGTAGGAGATCTACCTCTACTTCTTTTGCCTTCTACTTTTCCCTGGATGGTAAGTTTTTCAAGACCATTTCTTCGAAGCACATGTCCAAAATAGCTTATTATCTATTCTGTTATTTGTGTTCTTAGTCTTTTCTTTATGTTTAGCTGGACCAGTATGGATTCATTTGTTCTTCGGGCCACCCATGGTATTCTCAGCATTCGTCTCCAGCAGTACATCTCAAATACATCTATGTTCTTTTTGTCTTTCTCAGTAAGGGTCCAGCATTCCGATGCATAAGTAAAAACTGGAAAAACTAGACTTCTTACTAGTCTCATTTTTGTATCGGTAGTAATTTCATGGCTTTTCCAAATTTTTGTTCATTTTGCCATAGCGCTTTTTGCGATTGCTGACCGCCGCTTTATTTCTTCAGTACAGCCTCCTTTGTTGGTTATGTATATATACATGATATGAGCCACTAAAATATCTTCTTCTTGTGGTGCCTATTCATTACGGATGTTGGCTACTAGCATGGTAATTCTAACTTCATTGACCGCAGCTCGAAATAGTCCTGAAGTGGTCAAGGAAAACCATTTTCGTACTAAACCACTAACCACTACTAGCCACTAAAATATATGGGCAAAAAAACCTTTAAATGTTGTTAATTTAAATTTTTGTTACATTATATTATCATTAATAAATAAGATGTTCAAGTTACCGTTGGAATTGGTAACATGGCGACGTATGACTACATAAGGTTACTTGGTCTTGAGATAAAGTGTCTTCGAGGACCTGTTGATAACAACTCAAGAGTTCTTAATCTAATCTTAATTTTTAATAATATATAATGTAATAAAAATTTAAATTAACAACATTTAACGGGTTTTTTAATCATATATTTTAGTGGCTTATAGCGTGTATACTTCGTTACACTGATGATGGAATTTACATTCCGAAAACGTTATGTAATTGTGATATAGCCCGTTTGGGTATTTTATTATATACCTTTTATAAAGGATTTTATATATAAAAAAAATTAAATCAGTTCTTGTTCTGAAAACTAAATGCGACTACTCCTAGGCGAAATGAAACAGCGCCTCCGATCACGAGTATTACACTTGTGGTCATTCAGATAAAAGAAAAGAAACACAAAAAACAATCTACTACCGACACAATCTCCAACTACCGTGACATAAAAAACACCGTCAGAGAGGGCTAATCAGGAAATAAAATGGGACACAGGGGACTACTTCTCGTTCACAGTCTCCTACTAACCGTGGGATAAAAACATCGTCAGGGAGGGCTAATTAGGAATAAAACGGGACACAGGGTACTACTTCTCGTCCACAATCTCCTACTAACCTGTGGTATATAAAACACCGTCAGAGAGGGCTAATTAGGAAACACTGAAATGGTTTAGGACAAGGTACAAAGGGTAAAACACAACTATTCTCATCAGCCCAAACACAAGTAGCTCAAATAATACACGCATTTACTCAAAATGACCAAACAAATAAAATTACAAAAACCGATTATTCTGTAAATCCTGTCAAATCATTTAAAAATACATGCAACAAAAACTATACTAATTGTTACTGTTAATAAATTTTTAAAATTCATTTCAATATCAAAACTTCATTTAAAATTCATATTCAATCTCAAATATTTGCTTTCATTTCGAATACAAATATATAGCATATACAAATCTTTATATCATAGTATATATACAAACATTTCTACAGTACATGAAATCAAAAAACAACATTACATATGTTACAATATGCTACAATATTCAACGCATGTAGTCGGCGGGTAGGACGAGGAATTATCGATTTCGTTTAACACGTATGTCTGTTCGGTCTTATACAGCCAGTGACTTTATAAAAACATGTTCTGTTAATACATAGGCGTATTCTAGACGAAGAGTATATTATCGTCACAAGTTAGTTTGTTTTTATATTATTACACAACGTGAAATTCAAATAATATTCAATTACATACCCCCTACAAAAATTTCTTTAATATTTTATGTCTTAATTATTATTTTTTAGAAAAAACAACACAGTATATCTCAAAGATCATTTGCATTTGGAACTTTAGCAGAATGTATGAAATCTTTAGGTATATATGTAGAAAAGTTTGTCCCAACACTTCTAAATCTTTGGTTTACTGGCGCAAGAGATTCTGCTGACGAAGTAAGGAATAACGCTATTTTTGGTTTAGGGGAGATGATTTTACATGGAAAGGATAAGATATTGAGGTAAGACGTGTTATTACTTATTTTAATTTTTTTGATGTTTCTATCAAGCGAAGCGTGCATACTCATTTAGGGCCTCACAAATTTTTTATTTGGGTATCGATGGTGGTAGCTTGGATGGTGGACTCACATTAATGTACACTCCTGAAATCCTTATATTTAGATAGAATAATATATATTTAGACTATATATAAGAATACTTGAATTCGTAGATAATATATTTTTTCCAAAGGCCAAATCAATTAGATACTTTAATAAGAACCTAATTTCAGCTGCTGCATACATGCATACGTATAAAATAGGTTAGATATATCGAAATCAATGATAGAAATTTGGTCTTTCTAAAAAAAAAAATAGTAATTGTAAAATGTGACTGTTCAAGAAAAAACTTTTCTAGTTAAAAGGTACGAAAAATTGCAACACATTTTTTATATACTGTTAGATACAAACTATTATTAATTAAATATTTACAGAGGATTAAAAATATATTACAAGATACAACTGTTCTCTGATACAAGTCCATAACCCGAAAGTGGACTTGGGTAGAGGTGCTTTCGTAGACATTCTCGAAGCCCTCTACAGAGCACCCGGAGGTATTATAAGGCGTTTAGACCCTTTTCATTTACCCCGAGGTGACACAACATACTATTAGATAGAATTTTGGACAATAGATATCATTATCTTTAGCTTTATCCCTAAATTTATATCAACTCGACGGTAAAAATTCGATATCTTTTGATTAGAGTGTCGTATCAATAAAAATCAGAAAGTCTTTTGAAGGTGTAGAGTGCAGCTTTTTTATGCAATTCTGCATTTGCCGCAATTGAACTCAGTTTGTATAAAAATGTAAAATAAGTAAATATTGCGCGATTATTGCAATTTTTTACGATTCTCATGAGATCATTAAAATTTATCATTTTCATTAACCGGTCACTATGGAATTTCTATTGTTAAAGTCCAACCTTCTGTTGTTTTTATGTCAAATCAAACCCAATCTGTGATGTTTTTATGTCAAAACTCTTAGCATAAAAAATCTGACAAAATACAGGTACTCATCACCTAATTCAATTTAGTAGCGAGCTTTACAGAAATGACATCCTTCACTCCTAAATATTGCCATTATAACCTATTAGAACTACATACCCCTTACTATTATCTTAATGTTGAATCACATGTAAATACATATATCTCTATATAAAAGGCTATGATGACAAGTCACACCGTTTGTCCAGTAACGTATTTAGTTTTTATATTAATTATTAATATTATTAATATTTATTTATATTTAGTTAGGGCCACCTAGGAAAGCAATCTGAACATGACGTATAATATATATATATATATATATTATATATATATATATATATATATATATATATATATATATATATATATATAGACAATTGAAAGTAACCGGGAACGACCCAATACAAAGGAAGCAATAAAAAACGGGTGCTTCTAAGTGAGTTTCTTTTATTAAAAGTCAAGCTTTCGCCACATAATTTTGGACTTCAACTGAACTTTCTGTAATGGAAAAACATTCTTTACAATCATCATAATTAAAGATGTTATTTTTAGTATTACCTTAATGTTGACACTATCTCTTAGTATATAATATAATCGATGTGGAACTACACATAGTTTTAAAAACAAACCAATCGCATCTCCCAACTGGAGGAAAATGGCAAACAAAGCCTTTGTTAAATATTTAAATTTATTTTAATATAAACATGTGATCCACGGTTCGTAGACTTAGTACGGTTGCTCCTAATTATAGAAAACTGTTGTTATGTAGGTAGTTTGATACTTAAAATTAATCAGAATAAAGTTCTAGATTTACATAAATCTAAGATTTCTCCATTTTACACTAAAAATTTGTCGCATATACTGAATTATCAATACTAGGTTAACTATTGAATGAATTACCGGCCTTTAAAGGTCAGCTAGAATTATCCGAGTTAGAATTACTTGTATAATTTAATGTAAGAATTTTAATAATAGGTAATAAATTTTAATTGCAGTGTCGTGTCGTTAGCCGTAGAAGTCGGTCGTTTTGACGTGCTTTCGGTGCGAGTTTTGGAAGTGATCGCTATTGTGTTATTTTGTAAATTTGTTTAGTGCAAATTAGGTCCATAATTTGGTATTCCAAAAAATCTAATTATGGAAGAAGATGCTATTACAGGGCATAGACCGTCCGATGAATTACATTCTGAAAACACTTCTGAAAGAACTAATATGGATGTTAATAGGTCTGTAAACACTTTAATTGATTTTGAAAACCGGTATAAACCCAGCGATAAGGCTCCATTTTTTGTATATATTGAACACAAAAATAAACATATCGGTAGATTATTTCCGATGAAGGTAGGACATTTTTTATTAAATGATTCGTTCATTAAAAATGATGTACTTGATCTAAAAACAGTTGGCATTAATAGGGTAAAAATCATTTTTAAAATCTATTCTATAGAAAATAACATAATCATGATTTAATAGTTGATCTTATAGCTTATATTTCAAAATTTTATACACATAGAAAGAGGATAGTTCGTATGGTTGATACTTTCTTTTCATAGAAATATTTAAAGGATGCGATAATATTCGAGAGACAAGTGGTAAATGTTCAAAGGATGCAACGGAAAATAACGAACAACAATGGCACAACTCAATTAGTGCCAAGACAAATCATAATTGTAGAATTTTTGGGCAACGAGGTTCCACAAAACACAATAATTAATTTATGCAATTTTTCAGTAGATCCATACATACATCCAGTAGTGTAATGCTATAAATGTCTCAGATATGGTCACTCCTCAAAACAATGTAAATCTAAAGACAGTAGATGTAAAAAATGTACAGACACCACCCATACTGTAGAAACTTGTAATGAAAATAATCATTGCATATATTGTAAAACCAACGATCACACATCATTGTCTAGAAAATGTCCAATATACGAGAAACAGAAGAAAATCAAAGCAATATTGACATCAGAAAATATAACATTCAGAGAAGCAGAACAATTACATAACAATCCAAGCTACGCAAAAGTAATAACTAATAATAGATTTTCTATTTTAAATAACATTTCCAATTTTCCCAGCTTACCTACCTCGTCTAACAATGTCCCTAATTTCACATTAAATAAACAAGTAAGGAAAATTAATCACACAACTACAACTAACAAATGTAGAGCAACTTCACCAATTTTACCCCACACCTCTGTCTCAACTTCTAACAAAAGACCTACCCCTAAATCTAATCCTATAATACCCAATCCCTACAGGGACGAATTTATTGATTATAAAAAGAAACTTATATTACCTGTCACATCTCATATTAATCAACTTATGTATACCAATAATCAATCTAAACCTATATGTAATTTAGAAAATGAACTAAGAAAACTAATTTCTAATAATTTAGAAGAAACAGGTAATAACACAGAAACGGATAATTTAGCGACGAGTGACAATGAAAGCATTCACTCGCATTATTAATTTCCAAATGCACAGTCAACCTACACAATCTTCCTTAAATATTTTACAATGGAATTGTAGATCGTTAGTACATAAGTAATAGGGATCATCTCATAAATTATATTAATAATTCTCATGTGGATATTATTATTTTATCCGAAACCAAATGGATATCAAATTAAAAGAATATAATTTTGTTTCAAAATGCCGTGAAAGTGGCTATGGCGGTGTAGGCATTTTCATACTAAAGGGCATTGATTATCAAACAATTAACATTAACTATAATTTTAATACCGGAATGAAAGTGTGTGCAGTCTTACTTAACAAAATTAATATCTCTTTTGTGTCTATATATATATATATATATATATATATATATATATATATATATATGGACGACCAAGTGATTTTGCATTAGAAAGATATTAGAAACGAATAAAAATAGGTTTTGCATTTTAGTAACAAAGTGCCCACCAAAATCTATTCTAGAAGCCTTTTTCCAGTCTATTTACTCTTCAGTATGGAACGTATTTACTCTTGTACAAAACTAATATTTTTTATGTTAAAACACGATTAGAATGTTAAAATGATAGCTTTTGTTATACAGATAAACTGTTTAGTTTAAATAATTTTTCCTTTTTAATTTTGTACATAAATAATAAACAAAAAGGGCTTTGAGAATAGATTTCACAAATTCAATAAAACAGAGCATTTTAGTAATTCGGTTTATAAAGTTTATGTTGAATTATTTAATAATATACATACAAATTATAATCATTACTTAGCTTCTGTTATCTTTGAATTTGTTTTACTACTTCAACTGACCGCTGCCCTTGCAATATTTTTAAAATACAAAACACCATAACCGCAAATTACTTTACTGTTTGAGTAAGAAATATGCAATACAACACGAGCTCCAGTCGCTCGACTAATACTCTTTAGAGCTGGCAACAGTGTCTGATCTCGTGTTGATCTGTAAATATCTAAAATTTCGTATATAAGTCTTCCCCTTCCCTTTTCAGCTACGGATCTCATTTTGTTGTAAATTTATCAAAAAAATTTAAGTTCAAAAATCTTTTCCCCTCTAAGTGTGCCATAATTAATATGTTAATTATAAAGATAGTTATGAACAATATACTCCATTAATTAATTTCCTATTGGTGGATCTCGGGTTGTCCTCGATTTAATCGGATCTCGCCTTGATATGAAGACGTATATATATATATATATATATATATATATATATATATATATATATATCTTATTGTGATATTTAAAGTCTTGGTGCGCCAAGCAATTAATTAGCTAATTAATTAATTAATTAATTAAAATTATTTAAATGATATGATTATGACTCTATCACACTTTTTAATTCTCTTATCTCAGGGTTAAATTCGTGCTTCAATATCTATGCTATTACATGTGAAAGGTAAGGTCCAAAGAATACCGGAATAATAAAAAACACATATGATATAACACTATATATTGAAATAAAAATAATGAAATAATTCACACTCAAATGTTTTCAATAAACAAAATCTCATATAATGATTCTCAAAAATTTGTTCTACGTACGTGAATCTTCAAAATTAATGGTACAAACAATATTAATTGAAATCTCAAAATCCCAAATATTATTCTAACTCTCCTAATCCAAATATTTATATCCTTTCTAAATTAAGTGTAAAAATTGTGTTATCAATAAAAGGAAAAAAACCTGCAGAAAACAAAACTATCTCTCTCTGATGATGAGTGGTCCAAATCCTTGTTCCTTGTAGACTATACTATTTTCTCGTATCTGCTCCCTAGGTAATCAGCAATCTTACAACAAATTATTGCAAGTTTATCGTCCTTAATGATCTCCTTCAAATGCACGAATCGTTCAAATTATGCTAGCTTCTTCTTCTCTCAATAAACTGAATCTCTCGTTGGCCTGAGTGAAAACTGACTCTTGGAATATCTTTTCTTTACGATAAACTGAATCTCTCGTTGGCCTGAACAGTGATTCTTTTAATATAAGTAGAAAAATATGACTTACAATCTTTTACTGGATCAGCTTCTGTCAGATACACTAACTACACGAAAACTCACAAACTTTCACTGCTACTGCTTCCTACCTCTGGGAAACTACCCGAGAAAAAACGGCCGTTCGCCTTGCACCCTTGGAAACCAACTGATTATCCTTTCTCTCTCAAAAATCCAGCTAAACTTTCATTCCTACATACCTATCCCACCTTTTTCAATCTCCGCCAATCAAAGCTCGTCACAATTCTCCCATTTTTTCATTTCGATAACAAACAAATTTTTACCTATAATTATAAAATTTCCTAAAACTTATTTACAAATAATATTTTTCTACGATTCTTAAAAACTAACAAAAACTTATCTTTCTAAAATCTATTCTATTGTCCTTAATCACTGCATTAATGTATTTGGAAAAACCCGGTTCAATTGTCTTTGGATTTCACTTAAAATTATGCGGGTCAGTCAAGTATATTATAACAGAGAAAATAATTTATGCATAGCTTACATTTTGTTTAATACAGGTAATCCAAAAATTTAAAGAATTTCCTTCTTCGAAATGCTTGTTGGGTATTATCCTACTTATCTGAATTATTTTAATGTTTTTGAACTTTGAAATATTTTAAACAAACCAATATTTTTCTTGATTTTATATATCATAACAATATATATATATATATATATATATATATATATATATATATATATATATATATATATGTATATATATATATATAAAAATATATATATATATATATATATATATATATATATATATATATATATAAATCATCTGACATCAGAGTAGAAAAAGGCTGATTGGATACATTTATTTTGAACAATTCGATTACAAAAAAAACAGTTTTTTGTGGTGATTTTAATGCCCACCATTACATGTGGGGTCCGATCCCGGATGACCGTAATGGTAGAATATTAGTCGAAAGCATGGATTTTTTCGAATTAGTTTCTCTAAATGGCGGAACACCTACTAGAATCGCCGTGAGTGGTAATCATTCTGCCGTTGATTTGACTATCACCTCAGCCTCACTAACAAATCGTATAAACTGGTCAGTATATACCGATACATTGGGATCCGATCATTTTCCTATTAAAATAGAGCTTAAAATTAATCCTTCTTCATTCCTAATTAATCCATCACCAAAATGGAACGATTGCCGCGCTGATTGGAAGCTATTTCAGACAGATTTAGAAAAACAATTATCCACATTTTTATCATCTAATAATCTTTCTAACGATGAGAAGACAGCCCTACTCTTTCAGACTATCTCTCTAGCTGCTTCCAAATCTATGCCCATAAAAAAAACTTTTACTCCTTCAATGCCAAGGCCTTATTGGTGGGATGAGGAATGTACTCTCATAATAAAAAAACGACCAGAAGCCTTGAAAGCGTTTCGAACCCAAAGTAATCATAATAATTATATAAATTATAAAAATATAGCAACGCAAACCAGACGGTTATTTAAAACAAAGAAAAAAAGTAGTTGAATAAATTTTTTAAATAGTCTAAACAAAAGCACATCTCTCTCAAAAATATGGTCAACCGTCAGATCAATTTCTAATAATTATCAGTACAACAAAAAACCTCAACTTTCTGAAAATCTCATTAAACATATCTTAGATCAACCTGCACCTTCATCTGCCTCTGGTAATGTTGGTAGAATTAAAGAAATTTTTCGCTTTAATACTAGTATAGATTCCATGTCAAAATCTTTGACTCTTTCAGAACTAGATTCCGCACTAAAAAAAGCAGAAATACAGCCCCCGGTTTGGACGGTTTTACTTATAAGATATTGGACAAATTGCCTTCAAATGCCAAAGATGTTCTCTTACAAATCTTTAATAGTTGGTGGTTGCAACAAGAATATAGCGATACTTTAAAAAATATTATCATATGCCCTTTACTCAAATTTAACTTAAACCCAGAACTTCCTTCATCTTATAGACCCATTTCTTTATTATCATGTGTGACAAAATCCTTTGAAAGGCTTATAAAATTTAGATTAGAATATTTTATTGAAAGCAGTTCAGTTTTTCCCTATTCACAGTATGGATTTCGTAGAAGTCGAGGTACCATTGATGCTCTCGTACATTTAGTTACGGATATTCAACTCTGTTTCTCAAAAAACGAATTTATGCTATGTTTGTTTCTAGATTTAAAGGGTGCATATGATGTGGTTGATTTGGATATATTATATTCAAAAATGGTGGCATGCGGTATTGATAAAAAATTATCTGTAAATATAATAAATTTGTATGTGAATAGAAAAATATACTTACGGGACCATAGAAATGTATTACACGATCCAAGAATATTATATAACGGTCTCCCACAAGGCTCAATTCTAAGTCCTTTATTGTTTAATGTTTATACTGCAGATCTGCATGGTTTGATGGATGAAAAATGCAAAATAATTCAATATGCTGACGATATATGTTTATATACCAGCCATAAATCCTATGAAGATTGTATGTTGGATCTAAAACTTAGCTTTAATCATATAGATAAGTGGGTGAAACAAATGGCTTTTAGTATATCACAAGAAAAATTCTTCGATTGTATGTTTCACTAGACGTAGACAAAAAGTCACAGAGATATGTGATTATAATTTCCCCTTAGCAGAAGAGTATAAGTATCTAGGCATGATCCTAGATGTGTTCCAGTCATATGCTCTGTGCGAGCAAAGAATTAACCTTCTGCGCTTCGTTTCTAAAAAAAGATGGGGTGCAGATCAAAATATCTCTTTAATGTTTTATAGATCCTGCATACGATCCATTCTGGATTACGGTTGTATTCTTTACGGTTCAACATGCAAAACAAATCTATTAACTTTTGACAGAATACAATTAAATCAATAAAAATTTGTCTAGGAGCTATGATGTCTTCACCAAACCAAGCAGTTCTAGCATAAGCCCAGGAACCACCTTTACACATACGTAGGTAAATGTTAGCCAACAAACGTCTAATATCATACAGATCG